CACAACATCATCTCTTTGAGAGGACCTCGGGAAACTAACTGCAAGTCTCCTCACTCAGAGAAATTAGGAGAATATCCCAATCTGAATGCAGTCAGAAATAATGCCCAGAAACATGGCTGCACATCCCCTCACAACAGTGTTTTACCATGCACGTAGATGAATTTGGTCTAGTTTTCTTTTTTCCTTTAGCGCTGCTTAGTTACTTGATGCTTTGGCGCAATGTTGTCCTGCAGATGCACTGCTCGGGCTTGGCGTGGCACCCTGATGTTGCTACCCAGATGGTTTTGGCCTCAGAGGATGACAGGCTGCCTGTTATTCAGATGTGGGACCTGAGATTTGCCTCCTCACCGCTTCGTGTTCTAGAAAGTCACACGAGGTATGAGTCTTGTGTAACCTGCTGCTCCATGGAGTTAGTACTGTTAGTGACTGTGTACCATGTCCTCATGTGTGGACTTGCACAGTTTCTCTGCCTCTCGGTCCCCTAAATGCCTTAAATTTGGGTAGATTTTGGAAGATTTTGTTAAATTCTTGTCCCTCCTCAATTGTGAGTGAAACTTTCTGTATTGCTCCAAACCACTGCTTGATTTCAGGAGCTAGAACAGCAGTAAGAAAACTGCTGCCAGTGTTTCTGCTGACCTGAATCTCCTGCTAATAAAAAGAAGCTGACAAACTTGATAGTCACTGACCTTACCTACAGGTTTGCACACTCTGTGTTAATGATACAGGCAAACAAACCATTTTGTTAGACCGGTGTCCAGGTTCTCCCATAGGACTGTTGCATTTAATTTTCGGATACAATGGCTGCATCTTTATAACTTTTCATGCACAAACTAGAAAGCATGTATTTCAACAAATAAAGGGCTGATAGCATTGGAAAGTTTCTCCTCCAGGAAGAAGTGGGCCGGTCAGGTGCTGAGCTAATGTAGAAACTCAACTTACAAATATGCTTTATTTATCACTATTTTTCATTTATATAAAATTTCTTTTGGTTGTGACTTTTCATGCAGGGGTATATTGGCCATTGCTTGGAGTATGGCGGATCCAGAGCTGCTGCTTAGCTGTGGGAAGGATGCTAAAATCCTCTGCTCCAACCCTAACACAGGAGAGGTATTGTATGCTCAACACTTTAAAAAAAAAATTAAAAATCTCTGTTCAGAGGCGGCACATGCAAAGCACCTGTTGCTGTGCTTGCATTCCTAGGAATGATGCTTCTGTGACATGTTTCTCCCTATCCTGGGTACTTGTGTTGCTATGTGTGTCTTCCGAGCTTGTTCTGGTGGTGCAGGATTCCTTCCTAGTATTGTCAATATTAATGTTTGTCCTTGCTACTTCTCTCCTCTTGAGTAGTAATGTCCCTGTTCACTATAAGAGATGGAAATGGCTCCTCTTAAACTTCTAAATATGCTTCCTTCTCTTTTGTTTTGGGCCTTTTGTGGCTGGATCTTTGTTGCAATTGCCTTTTTCCTTCTGTAAGAACTTTTATCCAGACAGGAGGCATTTTGTAGCTTACTACAGTAATGGCAGATCAGTAAGAGCCACCCTACTGCATTGCCACACACTTTTCTGGGCCTGGGGATACCTTTCAAAGGGGATGCAAATCTGCTTTTCAGCCAACTAGAGTGTTTGTCCCTAGACTATGACAAGTGCTTCAGGCATGCTGGAGGGCTCCTTGCCTGCAGTGGACAGTAATCCTGGAGTAGAAGTGAGAAGTGTTTCTAGAATTCAAACATTGACCCAAAAGTGCAAAAGTTCTAGGGTGGTAAATGAGTTATCTGAGCTGGATCTTGTGCTGTTATGAAGGTTTTACGTGTAGATGAATCATACTACGTGTTTTTATTAAAAATAAAAAACATTTTCCTGGGAGAAAATTTCGCTGTCGGCATTTAGCGTTTTGTTCTTTGAGTTTCTCCTAGTTTATGGTTAAATGTCTGCTGTAAGGAAGGGGCTTGTCTGTTCCAAGGCACAAGCTCTCTGTCCAGAATGCAAGTGTTACCTTTTCCAATTTTCCTGTGAAAACATTTACTTTAGGGCCTGAACATCTCTCTGTGTCTTGTGTGGGGATACCTAAATTAGCTCTGAATAACCCAGAATGGATGTCAGCAACTCACAGCTTATGGTGGGGGACAGCACAAACATACCCCACCTGCATAATTTGTCCTGTGTGGATTAAACAGAAGATTTAATGGGAGAAGGGAATGAAGCAGTGGTATGTGATAATCAGCTGTTTGGGGGTTGTCAGGGTTTGCCCACTGTTAGTGTGAGTGGTGATGTGGAGGCTGCCAGGGAGCAAGAAGAGCAGACAAGTCTCAGGGCAGGCAGGGGAATTGTTGCTATTGGACATGGTGCTCCATAAAAGCTCTGATTTGTTGGTCTTGGTTTTGCTGCCCAGGTGCTGTATGAGCTGCCCACGAACACACAGTGGTGCTTTGATATCCAGTGGTGTCCCAGGAACCCTGCTGTCCTGTCTGCAGCCTCCTTCGACGGGCGGATCAGCGTTTACTCCATCATGGGAGGCAGCACGGATGGCTTGAGGCAGAAGCAAGTTGACCAGGTGTTAAAGAATGTTTGGCTAAGAATAGGGACAGAGAGGGAGGGGGAACAAAACATGGGCTCATGGGAAGTCTGCAGTGGCTGTCTGCAGCCCTGATTGCAGGAGCACCAATTCGGTGCAAATAGCCGCTTACGTTTATTTTAATGGATAAATGTCTCATCTGTTTTTCCCCTTTTTGTGCTATCAAAGCTTTCATCGTCCTTTGGGAACCTTGATCCCTTTGGTACAGGACAGCCCCTCCCGCCCCTGCAGCTGCCCCAGCAGGCTGCCCCACAGAGCGTTGTTCTGCCTCTGAAGAAACCACCCAAATGGATCCGGCGGCCCATGGGAGCATCGTTCTCGGTAAGGATGAGACGAGGGTGGGTGCGGTTGGCCAGGCAGGGAGGGAGATAGAGGTGGCACCTGCTAAACACTGTGGGAAGAGGGAAGTTCAGTGTTGTGCTCCACCTTGGGAGAGCTTCCCCTGTTTGTCATTGTGGTCGGAGATGCTCGGGGCAGCTTCCAGATGGGGCACTTGGGACAGCAAGCCAGCCTGACAAAAATGCTTGGGAAGAAGAAACATTGCCAACAGACATTTGTTTGTTTCTGTTTTGGCATTAGTGCTTCGCTTTTATTTATGTGCAGTGCTTGCTTTGGAGTAAACAAATATACATTGGGAGGTGGAATGAGACCAAACTGGGCAAGTATCTGAGATTTGAGTGCAGTTTGAAGGTACTGTGTGAGTCAATATGCTGGGGAATACTTGGGTCAGCTTTGATCAAAGTAGCAGGAGTTGCTGTAGCAGCACATGGCTTGGTTCCTCCATGGCTGGTTGATTTGCAGAGGAGCCAGGTGAGGGGATGGGAAGGCCCTGATTTTTTGTGAGAGCGGAATCATCTGCTCTTTGGTTCCACCTTTTGGCTTATTTTCTAAACCCACAGGTAATTTCTTCTGGAGATTTTAGCCTATTCACTTGAAATGGATTTCTTTGCTGAAATACTTCTGAATTTTCAGCATCATATGTCTGCTTATTCACGATCTGGTGCACAAGTCAAATGCAATTTTCTCCTGTCAAAGAGAAGCGATGTTGCCTAGTCACTGTCTGATGTGTCATTTTATAATGGTGTTTATTCCCTTATTCATCCTGGTTTTCCAGAAGCCAATTGTCAGTCTTTTTCCTGGCTAGGCTTTTGTTTTTTGTAATGCGTATTTTGTCCATTATTGGACTGGACTGTGTAAATTCACTTTGAGCTGTAGAATGAAACAGTATTATAAGCCCCTCCTAGTTTTTTTTCCTATGTTGATTTTACCTCTCTAAATTGTCTCACAACTTACTGCCCATGTCTCAGTAGGCTTTTAACTGGTAAACAGCCTGGCAAGAGCAGGGCAGACATCATGCTTGAGCGTTTATTTAATGATACGTGGGTTTCTTTGGTAACTGCATTGCGGTGTCATGGGATACTCCATTTGTGCTGGGCACTGTATGGACCCACAGCTCTAGTTCTCTGTTGCTGGTCAGTCTTTTGCCTGAAAGAAAATAGGCACAGGAATAGCTGTGCTCATAAATCCTAAATCTCATGAATGTTCACCTGCTTATCCAGCAAGCTCCTTACATGCATAGAAATATGGGGTGATGGGGGGGGAAAAAAATCAGTGAGTTGATGTCAGGAGTGTTCAGTTATTGGATGATAAGCATATATGTGTTATGTAAAATCAAGTGCATACATTTGTATATGCTCATACTTTTTCATATGCGTTCCCCTGTATACTTGTATTTTTCACATGCTGCATTGTGTGCTTCAATTCCAGTTTGGAGGCAAGCTGGTTACATTTGAGAATGCCAAGTCTCAGCAGCAGCCAGGCATGGAGCAGCAGCAGCAGCAGCAGCACCATGTCTACGTGAGCCAGGTTGTCACAGAGAAGGAGTTCCTGGCCCGCTCCAAACAGCTGCAGGAGGCTGTGCAGTCTGAGGGCTTTGTCAGCTACTGCCAGAAGAAGATCGATATGGCCCTGGCTGACTTTGAGAAGAACGTGTGGGCCTTCCTAAAGGTAACGGGATAACAGCCGTTCAGGAATTCCCTAGTGACTTGGAAAGCTGGTGTGGAAGTGGTTCCTTCTGCACATCGTGGTGTTTTAGCAGAAGGGATGCTGGGAATGAAAAGGTGTAGGCTGTGGGAATAGCACCCATAAGCCATGTCACTGGAGCTGGCCCACCAGGAGAGGGAGGGTCCCCAGGGCCAGGGGGTTTGTGAGGAATCATGGCAGAAGCAAAAGCATGAGTAAAGGTATCCTGTGGTTTTTGGCATCCCCCATCAGTACATATCTACAGGGAGCTAGTGAGAAGGAATAAAGCTTTGGCATAGCTATAGATGGGCTTTTCACTGCTCACTATGAGTGTTTTGAGGTTTCCAAGTGAACCAGATAAGCATCAACCAGACTGAAGCCTTGCCCACCTGCCCAGGTGCCCAAGTCACTGAAGACTTTTGCAGTTCTCTTCATTACATTCAGTCTACTCAGCCACTAGCTCTGACTGGGCAATTTGTGCCAGTCAAGTAAAAAGCCCTTGAGGGAGAAAATGAAGAATTGTGAATCGCAATATATTCTTTAACTTTTTTTAAAGGTGAACTTTGAAGAAGATTCACGTGCTAAATACCTTGAGCTCTTGGGATACAGGAAGGATGATCTAAGGAAGAAGGTAAATAGGCCTGGAAGTTGTGCTTGTGTTAAAAGCTTTACTTATGAATGTATCTGCAGAACACAGCCTAAAATGTTGACAGTGCCACGTATGGTTAAGTATTCATGGAAATGTCAAAGTGGGCAATAGACTTCAGAGGCATGTCTGCATCTGACTGTCCAATGCTGATCTGAAATTCTCACCCATCAAGAAGCTTTGATATTTATTCGTTCAATCTGTTCATGTAACTGTGGTACTTGACATGCTTCTACTGTAACATCATGGAATATGATCTGGTTTTAAGCTTTCTGGTTGAAGAACATGGAAGCAATTTTCAGGGTATCATTAACTACCTTGGAAAACCTGGGATAGTCCTTCTTCTTTTACAAAAATTTGGATTACCAGGAAGCAACTTGCACATCTTTAAAGATGTTTCTTCCCAGTTGTAGGGAGATACAGTGTTACAGGGAGATACCTGCTGTGCCTTTTGGCTTCTGTTGCTTTCAGTGCTCTGTCTAGTATTTCTTCAGTTCTGTTTCAGTGGATTTGAATGTTTGATTCATTTTCATTGTATCAATCTAATGTTTTACTTTCAAGGATTGGTCCCATTGAAGTGTCATTATGTTTATACAAATAAATGTCCTTTAGGGCAAACTTAATATGATTACAGGGGGGAAAAAAGTCATGTTTTTGCTAACAAGCTGTCCCCAGCTTCAAAAGTTTTGTGCATGACTCCAAGGCAAGCACATCAAGGGAAATCCTGTTTTTGAAAAGCAGATCTCAATTAGAAAATCTAGTTGAAATTTAGTAATGGTCTTGCAGATTGACCTCATGAGACTAGAGCCTACTGCTGCTGTTGCTCTGGGCTTGATATGCCCTGTGCATGGGGAGAGGCTGAGAAAATGGGCTTAGCTGAACTGAGTGGCCTGAAATGCTGGGCCTACCCCATGATTTCAGTATTTGAGAAACAGATGACAGGAGCTCAAAGGCCACGTTTTTATGTAGCTGTTTCTCAACAGAGCATTCCACATTGAAGTTGAATCCATGTTTTTTAGAGTCAAGAAACTACACAGGACAGCTCATCTGTAAATTTGTGTTAGCCAGATGATGATAAACTCAGTAACACAACTGGTTTTTCATATTATTGGTAGCATAAGGAAAGTAAAAGGAAGTCACAGATTTCAACTTCTTGGAATAAGCTGTTAAGAGTATGGGGGGGGTTGTCTTCTTTAAACCCGTGATTCTCATGCAAACCAAGTACTGGATTTCTCATTTTTATTGTAATCCAGTGATTAAAAAAGAAAAAGAAAACTGTCTCCAGCAATTTGAGCTCAGCATTTTGCACAAACCAGCATCCAAGGGTAAAATAAAGCCTACAGTACCACCAAAAGCAGTAGATAACATTAGCAGCAATAGGAAAACAAGGCTCCCTGAAGCTGAACTAATATATAAACTCAATACATTATAAATTGGTGGTTTTGAGGGCCCTAGTTGAATCTGGAGTCATGGTTTGCTTTGCAAAGCAGTAAAAGCTTTTTTTTCCAAGGTATAAAAACTCTTTTATACTGTGGAAAATTCTAGCCCTCAACCATGTGGTTGAAACCACAGTTTCCTGATAGGCTCCCTGCTCCACAAGGATTGTCACTGCTTCATTTTTCCCTGACCAGAACAGACTGAAGCTTTTGTCCTTCATGTTCTGATACTCCTTTTATTACTGTGGTTTCCAGCAGCTCTAGTGAGGTTTGAGGCCCTTGAGTTAACAGTTAAAAGTTTAAAAGCATAGAGCAGCTATTGTTTCCATCAGAGCTTGGGGTGCTGGGGTATTAGCAGTAAATCCATCACCTGGAAAAGGAAATGGCTTTAGTTTCATGTTAACTGTTCTGCAGGAAGCATAGTAGCTACATGTTCCACTTTTGCAGTCTGAGAAATCAGTGAGAGGTCTACCTCTCTAAAATAAAAGGGTACTCACTTAAATCTTCGTTCTTTTCTAGATTACATCTGCTCTGGATAAAGAAGGTCTTGTAGATAGTGTTTTGGGAGAGGTAAGCAAACACGTGTATAACTCTGTGATTAGTTTTACAATGCTGTGGTAATGTGCAAAGTAAGAATGATTTTTCTTTTGGCCTGATAGCTGTCCCAGAGTAAGTCACAAATAATCCAGCATGTGGCAAGTTCCTACATTCAGTAGGATGAAGGTACTTATTTAAAAAAACAACTACTTTTTTCTTCTCGAGTGTTCCCCCTTTCTCCAGTGAAGGGCTCCAGTCACAGGGTTTAATTCAGGGTCTCATTGGTGTCCCTCCACCTTTCCTTTTTGCTGCCTGTGTCTTGCCCACTGTGACACTTCGTGCTGCCTGTGAGGTAGGGCAGAGTCTTACTGCCTGACAGCTGATTTCAAGAGCACCTTCACCAGGCTTTTAAAAAAGCAAGACTGGGAGTGTGGTCCCATAACACTTCCTACAAGAATAACTACAGTTCAGGCATTGCCTCTTGCAATTGCAGTGGCCTGAGTCTGCAGCAGGAGTGCATTGCTTTTGTGCAGTAGACAGTTCAGATATCTGTAATTGCCTAATGGGGAAGAAAGATTTTGTTGTGTGTTTTCAGGCATCTAAAATGAAACCAGCACAAGGTGCTGTGTAATGACAAGGGAAACAGGACCTCTACCATGTTTATGATAGCCAAGCATACATGGGCACTGCATTTCTGTGATCTGCAGTCTGATTCCAACTGTTGTTGGTGGGAAGATGGCTATACTCTGCAGTGCAAAGTATTTCTTCCTCTTTTGCTGGCTTTTTTTTCATGGCATCTTCTCTCTGCTGAAGGCTCCTGCAGAATCTGAAGAATCTGTGCCAAATGAGGGGGATGAAGGCCGAGCTACAGAGGAGCAGTTCTTGGGAGAGGTATCTGTTGCCTTCTAGACTAACCCTGCTGACCTCCCTGTATTTACTTTGTTACCATTAAGAGCATTTTATTTTGTTGGCTTTTCCTAGTGCCGAGGATATACAGAAATACAAAAAGTTACTTAAAACGATAAAAGCAGTCTCTTGTTAAGTTGCTCAAGATTTTTCTCATCAGCTTCAGACATCATGTGAATAGATTTTGGTGGCACTGAAGTACAAGCTTGTTTTATAAGAATCCAATTGGCACCACACTCAAGGACTTTATTCTGCCATCGTTTTTGCTCTGACATTTCCCTAACACAAATTATCTGCCACCAGAACCCTTATGCTTTTTTTTTTTTTTTCCCCTTGCTTTCCGCATTTCCTTCTTTCCTCCCTCTGGTTGATTATTACCAAGCAGTCAGCTTATTACTGTCCTGTTTCAGGGTATAACTCTTTGCAGAGATGAAGCTGTGCTACTGGAGGAGGGATAGAACATTCATTCTCTGCATTGCTCCCACCAAAGTCACAGTGCCATCCATCCCCTGGCACCTGAGCAGCGAGTGTCAGGGCTCTGGCAGCCAGCTGCCTTAAGAGTGTCTGTTGCAGCACTTCAGACGAATTTATCACAGGCAGGTTGGGATCAACCATGCCTGCTCTTGGGATCCTACAGCTACTGTTCATTTTTGTGCATTTGAACAGCATTGTTTTCAACCCTATGTTTTAAATATGGGGACAGGTGAGGACCAGCCTGAGGACCAGCCTCTGCCTTGTGAAGTCAGTGGTACTGAAAATACTGTATTGCTGTGTGAACAGGCCAACTTCATTGTCCCCCATTCCCTCAGTCTCCCTTTTGGGTTAGAATTCGAGCTGTTAGCCCAAAACTAACTGTGTTCCCTGTGCTTGTCTGCAGTGAAGATGAGGGACAGTAGTTTAAGCCTCATGCAGGCTGGAGTGGTGCACTTGACTCCATATAACAAACAGCCTCTTAAGGACACTAAAACCAGAGTGCTCTCCTTAGGTTAGGTGCTGGATTGCTTGTTAATTCTTTAGACACTGCAGTGGCAGACATGTATCTGACTGTATAAGGATTTTACTGTATGCAGTCCTGAAGATATTAGATGTCTCATTACAAATGTTTGCTCTAAGAGAGAATTCACAGCCAAACATGACCCCAGCCTTCCAGCATGGATGGTAAATATTTGTGAGACTGACCTGGAGCCACTGATGATGCATCAAGGTGGGCTGTCACATCCATAAAGTAACTGGAAGGGCACATTATTCCTGTGATAGTCACAACATGCTCTCAGCTGATACCAAACACTTATCATGTGTTATCTGACAGCAAAATAGTTTTCCAGATGCTGCCTCCTTTCATGACTCAAACATGAAGGTTGTTTCTGACTTGCCTCCCCATCCAAATACCTGGTTTTGGTTGACTGTGTGCTTTATCCTCTGAAGTGCAATTTCACTGATCAGCTCACAAGCAGGGTGTTCTCAGCAGACTCATGAACTCCCCCTGCATGTACTAAAGCAAATTCTGCGCTCTTCTTAAGCTGTGCTGTGAAAACGGGTAATGGAGAGAGAATTCCCTCTTGGTGTTATTTTTTTTATTATTGAAAGGTTTTGTTTGAAATCCCAAATGCACAAAATGGTCTCTATCTTAAATCCTGGGGAAGTTTTGTAGGAAAAAAAAAAAGCATCTTCTGTCCACTGAGCCACTCCTATACTGAGTGCAAAGTGCTTAAGTCTGGTCTATGCTGGACTTCCGTGTTGAAAATTGAACATGTGTTCACATGTAATTTGCTTAATTAGATTAGGATGCATGCCTAGTGCAGAGTATTTCAAGGACCAGCTGAAAGTCTTAAGTGGAGCAATGTGGAACCTAGGTAGTGTTATTGTAGACTGTTCTTGCTAGGGGTTGAAGTTGAAAGAAGAGGGAAGGGAGAGGTTTCTGACTTTGTGGTAATGGCTGTTGTTTTGCTTGGAGGGGATTGTGTGTATATGGGCATGGATGTGTGTGTGCAAGTTAATGTTCTGTGAGCAACTGCTAGTCTGAAGGTCTAACTTGTAATGCAAGAACCATATTTTTTAAAATGTGTGTATATTCCAAGTGTTTACATAATGTCACAAATTCTGCTTTTCCTTTCTCTTAGACCCCGAAGGACCATAAACAAGAAACTGAGGGTTTGGGGTCTGCAAAGACGACATTTAACATTTCTGTTAGTGGAGGTAAAAAAAAAAACCACCTTGATATCCATTTCATTTTATGTGCTGATATTTATAAATGCTGATGTTAATACTGGTGTTCCAGTGAGAAGGCCATTTCTGCACAGAAATTGTGAAGGATCGTAATGACTTGCCTCTAACCGCACTTGTTTCGCAGCAATCTCAAGGCACTTGAAAGTGCAGCTTCTTTAAGGAAGGAAGGGAAGTGTGCAGCACTTGTGTACCCCGTTGCTGAAAAGCAGCTGCTCTGGGTGATTTCTGCTATAAAGGAAGACATGCTTGATGAGGCATGAAGTGCTAGCAGAAACTCCCAGGGGATCTTGAGTGACGCAGAAGCCACTGACCCTTGTCTAGTTTGACTCTTTCTGGCACTGTGTGCAGGGTTGTTGTTTCAGAGGCCATTTAGACCTCTAGCATCTTGCTCTGCCGCAAGGTAAGTGATGCTTGACAGTGCCCCCCGTGACGTGGCCATGGCCATGTGTGTTTGAGGCTGGCGATGAACTGGAGCATCCCTGTGAGTACTGCCTGGAAGCAGGCCGGTTTGCAGGCAGCCTCGTGCGGTGTTGTACAGTCGGAATCGGAGTCACCGTTGCTTCTTTAAGTGACTTCCGTGCCGCCATTTGAATGTGCACCCCCCTCTCGCTGCAGATGTGGACGGTTTGATCACGCAGGCTCTGCTGACGGGTGACTTCGGGAGCGCGGTGGATCTCTGCCTGCACGACAACCGCATGGCTGACGCCATCATCCTGGCCATCGCGGGCGGACAAGAGCTGCTCTCCAGGACGCAGGAAAAGTACTTTGCTAAGATGCAGAGCAAGATTACCAGGGTGTGTTTTTTCACTTCAGAACTAACGTGCTTCGTATGCCTTTGGCAACTCCCTTTTTCACCCTGAAAGTTTTCTTGCCGTTTTTTAGGTTTATTTCTGGGAGAAGTTAATAAGTATTCAAATCATCTCTAAGATCTCGGAGCAGAAAAGCTTCCGTTGCTCTTTTTTAATGCATTGATCAGAAGGGAAGTCTTGCACACTACCTGGATATAAGTACACAAGAGTATTCTTTATCTCCTCTCTGGTGTCTGAGTTGCATATACACTAATAGGTTCTCACCAATAGATAAATATCTTAATCAGGGCACATTTCAGTTTGTTATTTTGTCACATTTTTTATGAGTCACACATGACCCACGCTCAGGGCCAGGCAACATTATGTAGATTTGTGCCTGTGGTCAGTCTTAACAGATTTTGCTGATGCTTCGTTTCACTGCCTGCACAGAAAAGAGCAAAGTGTGCCCCGGGTAGATCAATCACCCTTTGTCTAGGAGACAGCATGTTATGGCCAGCTGGTTATTGTTATTTTCAGCTTTTTGCACGGCTAGGGATTGCTGATGCTGCTCGTTCAAGTTTTTCTTCTTTATTACTGGCATGAGAAAGTAACAACAGGAAGATGAAACAGGAGAAGTGGCTTTAAAAGAACACAGAAAACTGCTCTGCTAATGCTGGACAAATGAAAAGAGGAAAATCTCAAGTATTAAGACTCTGCAGGATTTCTTCCCTTTACCCCCAGCTACTCCCTCTGGTCTAATCAGAGAAAGGAGAATTTGTAGCGTGTGAGAAATTTCTTCTTCTTCACTGTAGTTAATCCTTTGGGGAAAGGATTGGAGAGCTGACCAGTTATCTGTGCCTGTGCTAACAAGCAAGTGTTGACCTTGTAGTTAGGATCTTGCATTTGTTGTTTAGGTGTGGGGTTTTTTTCTGGTCCCAAACTGCACACTTATTCCTTGTTCAGAAGTTTCTGAGCTTGAAATCTTGGTATGACAAGGGGTTTGTTCACTGAAGAGCAGCTCAGCTGCCAAGTCTGTCTTTTGTCCCAAGTAAAATAACTGGAGGCAGAGTTTGAGAAGAAAGAAACTGGAATTTTTTTTCTGAGGGCTTGTGGACAGACAGCCTGTGTGTGGGTGAAGGGTAGGGACACTACAGCCAGCTCAGGTTGATATTGCTGCCACTTTGCTGCTTCCTTTACACAGCCTTTTCAACTTGGCCTCAGGTCAGCCTCAGGCCAAGAGCTTATAGCCGAATGAAACCATTTGACAAACAAAATACATACCCCTTCCTGAGCATTGTGTAGAAGACTTACAGCTAAACACTTAGTATGTTATCTTTCTCTGCAAAAACTGCTGAAACTCATTTTCAGCAATCACAGCTTGTGGAGATTTGTGTATTCTTTTCTTGCACGTTTTGTAGCAAGAATAATTGTCCTGTTTGTTATCTGAGCTCATTTTGATTTTTCACTGTATTCCTTTTCAAGTAAAATGTATTGTAGTGCAGCTGTTAAACTGCAGTGCAGTATCTATTGTGACCCTGGATAGAGTGGGGACGAGTGCACTTGAACAGATACAAATCATACTGTAGGTTATACAAAGGAAATCCTACCAAGATGTTAACTGTGGTCTCCCTCCTTCTGGTCTAGCTCATCACTGCAGTGGTAACGAAGAACTGGAAAGAGATTGTGCAGTCTTGTGATCTGCAGAACTGGAGAGAGGCTTTGGCTGCTGTGCTCACTTATGCCAGGCCAGATGAATTTGCAGCCCTTTGTGGTAAGCACACTTTACAGGCTGGATGTCATTTATTCTACTTACAGCAAAACTACGCTTTGCCAGCATTGTTTTCCTTCCCCTACACTGCTGTAATGCCTCTCTAGCTTCTTTCATGGGTCATATACTTCCTAAGTCCTGTTGCAGAGGAGGAGGGGAACCTCTGGGGTGCTATTTTACCAGTGCATTCCCTAACTTTCTGGGCACAGAACTCAGAGCCTTGTGAGCAGCTGTGTCCCAGTATTGCCTGTGTAGCGCACAGCTGCTGGTCTTGTACCACTGGGGGTGTTGATGTGACGGGTGTCTCAGCCAAGGGACCAGTCTTGGGGTGTTTGTGCATGGGGTACAAGTAGAAATGTTTCATGGAAGCACTTCACTCTTCTTTCCCAAGATCAGTTTTGACTGCTGGAAGGAGTCCTCTTTCCCAGGCAGTGAGCATGCCTGCCCTTCTGTGCTGTGTGGCAGACAGCTGGCTGAGTTTAACCCACAGGGAGGTTATATTACCAGTAGCTGTGAGCCTGACACCCTTGTGTCCCTCAGCCACGGTGTCTGGGGAGGTATATGACTGCCTTGAGCAAGCATCAGCCCAGAGCAGTACCATGGCTTTGCTCACAGTTCCTTGGCTGGTTGCACACTCGGGTCACACTCCTGAAATGAGGGACTGCACAAGTGGGTGGTGGAGGGGAGAATTGAACCCTGGCCTCTTGTCCTTTATCATGTCAGCAGATGGACTATCCCCTCTGCTGTGACTCGCATTTGCAGTCATTTGACAGGTTCTTGCTGCCATGACTGCCTCTGAAGTGCCCTGGACTCCCATGAGATAATCTGTGCTAGACACCAGAGTGTGTCCTTACCAGCAGAGCCCAGAGGCAATATCCCTTCTCACTGAGACATGACAACCATTGTAGGCTTCCTCAGCTTCAGCAGCGATGGGGAGGGATCGCCAAAGTGATTCACCAGCACCTCTGTTCGTATTCCATCTAGATCTCCTGGGCAGCAGGCTGGAAAATGAAGGGGACAGCATTCTGCAGACACAAGCTTGTCTCTGTTACATTTGTGCTGGCAACGTGGATAAACTCGTTGCCTGTTGGACCAAAGTTCAGGATGGAAGCAGCCCCTTGTCCCTTCAGGTTGGTAATTATTTCAAGAAAGGTGTTGGAAGTAACACACTGCAGTCATTTGGCACTTAAATCGAATGATCTAGTGTAGAGCTTTGCTGTCTGATAGCCGGATGTACATCAGGATGCAAGCCTTTTCCTTCTGGAATGGCATAGCACATAAATATGGTACTGGAAAATGCACAATTGTGAAGCACAGTGGCCCTTGTGCTTGCCCTGGTCTTTGGGTAGTCATGCTACAACACTTCTTGTGTTAAAGGGTAACGGTGGAGCTTGAGTGTTTTGGTAAAGAAGAGTCTTCGAATGCTTGCATCTTCAGCAGCTGGGGAGTACTTGGACACTTCTGCTTTTGGATGTTCAGGAGAAGAAATCTAAAGCATTAGAGTTAAATCTAGAGAGAAAGCTGTAGGAAGATTCTCCTTGGTGTTTTCTCCAGGAGTTTGCACGCACAAGGCTTGATTTCCCATAGTGAAATATATTGCATATAGCAAATATCTTGGGGGAATAGGAGTGGAATGAAGCAATTGTGGAATAATTTATTTTATACTACAATCTTAGTTTCTTCCATCTGTTCGGGGCCTTTGAAGGACCAGTTTTAGAAAGTACTTAAAGTAACATTACTTGGCAGTGCTGTGAATCTCTTGTAGTTAATTGAAAGAACTGGAGTGTATGAGTTTTGCTTTGCATCATTAACTCTCTCCAGTTTTGAATTATCAAAATTACTTGGATTTTGAGGGCTTTATATATAGATTTACCTTCAGTTTGAATTTGCATTTTGATTGCATGGCTTTGCTCTCTTGGACACTAAAATTGAAAAATATGATTGGAGTTATAATTAGGCTGCTTGTTTACTCTGATGTGGAATTCATAGAAAACTCACAGAAGCTGTTGATTATCTTGATTTATTTGCGGGAGGTTTTTTTCCTCTTTTGAAGTGCTGATTTGTTGAGAAAATCAAAAATGTTTTATTGAGGAGTCAGAAAACAATCCTTAGTAGTGATGTATGGTTGAAATTCTGTGTGTGGTACACTCAATAAATCTACTGTAAGATTTTAAAAAAGGATTGGATGTTAATGTTGTCAAATTAATATTTGTAGTATCTCTCAAAATGTAGTGAGAGTAAGAAAATCATGAGAAAACTGACCAGAAAACATTCCTGTAATTTAGGACTGGAAGGAAACCCAACCAAGGCCAGCTCTGGTGTTCGGGGATGTGTAAGGAAGGCAAGATATGGAGTATTTTTGCTATAGCAACCAGAAAGCAATGGACAACTCTCCCAAGGCAGATCCTTTTAAGATGGTTAAGAACTGACTTACTAAAACACCATAAACAAATGTGCAGCAGCACAGCACTATTGTTGGCGACAGGCACGATGTTTCCTGTTTGCTCTCATGCTGTCACCAGATAATTTTATGAAAGCATACTCTTGGTGGGCATGCTCAGTGCTGATAGGGCCCTGAAATCCTTTTTAATAAAACCAGTTCTTTTGGCTTTGAACTCTGCTGGCTATGCTGTTAGAAGCTACTTGGTTGGTGTTCTGTTATCTCACATGGTGGGAAGGCTGTGCCTTAGTGCAGCTGTGACTGTCTGGGAAACCTGCACTGGGCTTGGGCTTCTCACTGGATGAGAGGGGTTTTCCAAGGCTGCCCTGAGGAACAGCCCTCCATGACAGTCATTAGCCCGTCACTAGTTAGCTATTCACTTTGCTGTTCTCACTCGTGCGTGGTTTTTTTTCCTGATCTTTCAGGACTTAATAGAGAAAGTCGTAATCCTGCGCAAAGCCGTGCAGCTCACCCAGGCTGTGGACCCTAATGCTGTGGGGGCCCTTTTGGCCGATAAGATGAGCCAGTATGCCAACCTCCTGGCTGCTCAGGGAAGCCTGGCTGCAGCTCTGACCTTCCTCCCTGAGAACACCAACCAGGTATGGGGCCTTTGGGCTCTTCGCTCCCTCTCTCTGTGTGAACAGGTACACTTTGAGCAAAGGTCTCCGCACGGTGCAGTCAGCCATCAGGAGTGCCATTTGACATGCACCTCAAGATGTGACAGGCTGTTTCCCCTCTCCCTGTGTTGACCTTGCTGAGCTGACAGAAATGCACAGCCACCTTCTGCTCCCTCTTTGTTTCACACCTTTGTCCTTGCAGCCAGTGACTGCCAGAGGGTGTCCCTCCAGCAAGCCAGACACGGTGAATGAAATGTGTGCCTTGACACTTGGTTGTTTTCTTTTGACTTCTCATTTTCCATCAGCTGACATTTGTAGACAGGGTGGTTTGGGAAAGAGGCAGGCACATGTAAGGCTGTCCCAATAGCCCCATGTCTCATGCATGGTCACGATCGTGCCTCAGTCCAATCTAACAAAGCAGAGTGGGCTTCTGAGAGAGCTCATCAGACAGAGGGTGGCCAGTCAGCCTCTTGGTGTGATGCACTGGGTGACAGGCAGTGCAGTTAACCTTCCTTCACTGTCCTGCTCTGATTGCAGCCAAACATCGTGCAGCTGCGGGACAGGCTTTGCAGAGCCCAGGGGGAGCTCCCGGTGGGACAGGACGGCCTCAAGGGACCATATGAGAGAGAGCCCGTGCCCAAAGGACGAGCTGGCCCTGTGGCTGGACGGATGCAAACACCCCAGGCTCCAGCCCAGCAGTATTACCAGCAGGTAAATGGGGTTTGGCAGTAAGGGAGGGACATGGTGCTTGAATTCTTGAGAGTGATGGATATAATAATTCTTTTCCTTTCTCTTGATCTGAGGCTGTATGCCATATACCTCCCAAGAGCTTTATGGTAAAGGTCACTGGGGCTTCCTTTCAGTCAATACAGATACCTAGATACCTCCTTTATTCCTTAGCTGGAAGAATCCATTAAACACCTTGTCAAGCAGTCTGCTGCTGAAGATTTGGTGTTTTCCCCCTTTGTTTGAAGGTGTGGTTCAATGCCAAGAATAGCTGCATGGGAGAGCACTGCAGGAGTTCTCTGTGCTTCCTCTCTTAGTCCCTGATGTCCCATCCCTGCAGGCCATGGGGCTTGCTCATGCTGCTCACCAGACTCTTCTGGGGCTGATTGCTCCCACCCCCAGCTCTGATGTTGACTGCAGAAGCTGCTGAGCAGTGGCAGTAGCAAACTGATGACATGTTTCAGCAGCTGTGGGTACAGTTTGCTGTGAAAACACCTTCTCAGATAGGCATAAGGGGGCACAGGCAGGTGAGGAAGCAGGTGGTTGGTTCCTGGTTCACTCTCCTGGACTGAGAGTGAGCTGTTCTAGAAGAAAGACCTGGTAAGTATGAGACTAATAAGGGAGCTGTGCAGGAAGGAAGAGGACAAATAGGGGAGGCAAATTCCATGGTTTTATCTCTAACCTGAGGACAACACCACAACAGAACTCACTGACCATCACTGCAGTGTGGTGTGTTGAGCAGCCCTGGCTGTGTGCATGCTTGGAGGGCATTGCCAAGACTCTAATCCCTCAGTAGAGCACTGCAGCTCCTCTGGCCCTCCTCTGCACAGGGGCTCTGGGCTGAGCTTTTCTGAGAGCAGAGCTGTGTGGGTGTTCTCCTTATGCAGAGGAGACTGGCACAAGCAGTGGTGTCTCTGTGCTGCACTCAAGCATTGCTTGCCAGAAAAATGAGGCAGGAAGGAAAAAGGGCTGAAAGGTTGAAGGGGGAATTGGGAGTTCTTGATGTCAACAACGTGTGCCTCTGCCTTCTTTCCAGGGTGTTAGCAAGGTAGATTTCAGAAGGGACAAAGCCTTCATCCAAGATTACCTTGCTAACACCATTGCATATGATTTTAAATGCATCATCATCAATAATCAACTCTACTGTTCTGTCTGTGTCTTTGGCCTCCCTCCTTGTAACCAATGAGTTGCCTTGAGAAGTGATTCTGTGTGATTCCCGTTTGGCTGTGGGGAATAGCAGCTTTCCTCTACATGGCAAGATCTTAGCAATGCTTTTTCTTTAAACCAGAGTTTCCTCTTTCTCCCACTGTTTCAGGAATGTCTCAAACTATTATTTCAGCAAGCCCTGCTCAAAAATAAAAGGCTGGGTTTATCAACTCCTTGAGCACACTGTGAGTTATCCCCCTGTGTTCTTGGCTTTTCAGGAAGTCCATGCTCATCAGGGGCTTGAAGAGGACAGGTATCATGTCAGAAAGGTGCCCAGCAGTGTGCTGATGAGCCAGAATGGAGAAAAATTACACATTTGAGTCTCAGGATACTTACTTTGACTTCCTTTTAAGAAAGTGTGTACGAAGGACTTGCTCAAGCTTAAGGCAGCCTTTGTTTAATTGCTGTCCCAAATAGGAACATGTACTTAAAACTTGGATTCCTTTCAGCATAGGTTTTTTTAAGCCTCTTTTTCATCTAGATAAACCAGGCATGAAAGGAAGTGAAAAAGTCTTTTAGGTTACTTCAATGATGAATTATGCAGACACTAACAGTGGTTGTTGTACAGCTGACTGCACCATTAGCCTAGCACTGTGTGGAGTTAGAGACACATAGCCTGAAGCCAGCTGAGCCAGCCAGGAGTGCAGGGTCACAGCTTTCCCTCTGCCTGTGCTCACATGGGGTGTTGAACTCCTGAACCCTGGCCTTGTGTCCCACTGTTGGGCAGCACACCCACTCCTTGCTCAGGGATGTCACAGGCATAGGAGTTTTATGGCTTCTGTCCCATCAGAAAGGTAGAAGTGGTCATATAAAATTGAAGGACTTTGAAGTGGCAAAGAAGGAAGACAGAGGAAAGGAGCTATGGGAGACTGGCTGGGAAGCAATTACCATTAAGATGTGTATCTGTGCATGTGCAAGAGCTGAATAACAGATTCTAATCTTTTATAATTCATCTTGAGCTCAATTTAAACAGAATTCTTTTGTGTGAGGCAGTATGTTTGAATTTAACATGGAACTTGGGACTTGCAGCTCTGATTAGTGATGCCTGGGGTCATGGACTAATGGCGGGGGGGGGCTTCTGCCATAGGAAAATGTAATGAAAGAGGGAGACCTGGCTCACTGGCACATATAACACTGCACTTGCTCCACAGCCAATTGTAGCTGCAACTCCACTGTGCTTCGTTTTCGCTCTGCAGTTCACTTTGGCTCCAGTGCACAGTGATTTTGTCTGTCTTGAATGCATTTTTCCTTCTTTCTCTGAGATTTTTATGGCTGTTACAACTGCCAGCATGCAAACCTTCTTGCATCTTGTTTTGTGAAACCCTTTAGACTTTTTTTATTGTTTTGTTTTCCATGATTGGTATTTCTTTGTTCGATTCAGGTTAGAATTGCCCCTACTGTCACTACCTGGAGTAACAAAACTCCTACTGCCCTTCCCAGCCATCCTCCTGCAGGCTGTCCCTCTGACACACAGGTATAACCTTCATTATTCCTCTCTGAGCCCCTGCTCCACCCCAATATGTCCCCTGGTGTAGTCTGTGTGCTTGACATGGTCTGGTACAGATAGACAGAAGGAGCAGCTTCCATGTGCGCTCTGGTTTTATTCCTCTGCATCTCATTACTTTTTTTTTTCACCAACACCCAGATGAGGGGCTCTGGAAAGCCTTGAGTGGGAGCTCAGTGTGATCTGAGCCTCCCCACCCCTTGCCTCACACTGGAATATTTGAAGTTTGATGATATTTTTCCTTTCCCCCCTTTCCATGAAAATCAGAAGCTTCAGAGTTAATGTTTACTTAGTTGAAAGATGGCAGGGTGCTCTCAGACTGCCTGAATAACAGGCAGCACTAGCAGGGACCTCTTCCTTGTGCAGGAAGGTGTGTGCTGCTCTGTTTGCTGCTGAAATCACTGCACATACAGGCTGTGCTTTCAGTGTTAGACTGGGCACCCTAAGGCACTGGGCTGGTTGGAGACCTTTGCCCCTGTGCTGGTGGCTCTTCCAGGGAATGTGGTTGATCATTTTGTTTACAGTTCTGCTTCAACACTGCATTAACGTTGCTGACTAAATCCTGTCTCTCCCAACTATTTTTCCTGAAATCTTTTTGCTACAGGGAGACAACCCACCTCCTCCAGGGTTTATCATGCCAGGTGCTGTTAACCCCAACATGCCGCCGCAGCAAGGCACATCTTCCAATTACAGCATGTACTCACAAGCAGGGACACGGCCGACGTACCCACAGAGTGAGTAACAGCGGCTTCCCCCTCTCTCCCTCCCACCCAGGTGGGCCAGCCACATTTAGTTGGGGATAACCAGTCCCTTGCTTGTGGTTGGGAATGTTCAGACCAAGACTGTCCTACGTTTCTTGCGGGGGTGGGGAAAGAGGCTCTCGAGGCGACATTCTGAGGTTGTCATTTCATGGTGGGGTTCAGACATTACACACCCTCTACAGTCAAACACTGTCTCCTCTGCTGAGAGGGTGTCTACCCACAGCTTAGATTTACTCTTCAGCTGGCCCTTCCCAAAGGTGTGCTGGGGTCAAAAAGTCCAAAGCCTGAGACCTGGAAAAGCAGCACAAAGAGGGACACAGCTCATCTGTGTGCAGCTGGTCCATCCTTTCTTGTTGTGACTCCATGAAAGGGGATGAGGAAATGAGGGCAGTACTAGAGTTGAGTGAGGAAGGGGGGGGCAGAGCACTGACACTCGAGGCAGGGATTAAAAGTACAGATGTGAGAGAGGAAAAATGAGCACAGATGAGCAGGACAGGTAGTGAAATTAGGCTGCAGGGCCTGCAGTGAAAGGTTGTGAGCTTACACTCACTTCCAGAGTGTTGTTCATTTCCTTGGCCTAGGACTTCCCTTTGTGCAAACCTGGGACAGGGCTTTCCCTTCCCTGAGAGACACTGTGAGGATTGCAGTGGTCCAGAAGAACAGCAGTGTCCATGTGCCCCAGCCCCACCCCAGGTGACACAGTGGCTCTGGGCCAGAGACTGTGTGTGGGAGAACAAGAGTCCTTACAGCCAAGGCAGTCCTTTCTGTGCCTCCCTGCTCCCAGTTGCAAGCTGGGGTTTTAAGCAGTCCTACAAGTGCAGGCAGAGTTGTGGGAGCCAGGATTTGGCTGGGCAGGTAAGTGGTTTGAGGGGTTAGGGGCATGAAGAGAGTGAGGTGAAGAAGGAAGCAGAGACAGATGAAACTTGCTCCTCTGTTATGAACTCACTGACTGAATGTTTTCTCTCCCTGTTTGTAGCTTATCAGGCCACACAGCAGTACTCCTCTGGAACAGGGGGACCAACTCTCTATCAGCCTCAGCAGCCTATCGCTGTCCCTGCTTCAGCCTCTTACCCGAACCCTGCCCCTAACACCGCCCCTCCCTACCTGCCCTCTGCCCCTGCCCACCCCATGCCCTCTCCGCTGTACCCCGGGCAGCCTCAGCCCTCCCCGACGAGCTTGAATCCTGTCTCTTCCTTCCCTGTTCCTCCTTCTGGCACATCCTTTCAGCATGGCAGGCCAGGACCTCCAGCAACTTCTGTGGCTTATGCATTACCTACTGGACCAACAGGTACTCTGCCTGCAACCAGTGACCTTCCTGCATCCCAGAGAACAGGTCTGCGCTTGGACAGGGGGGCAGGCAGGGAGGGGGGAGAGGGTTTTGGTCTTTACTCACTCAGTTCAGTATGCACCTTTTCCTTGTGAATGCTCTGTACAAAGGTTGCTTTTGCTTAGAGATCGGTTCAAAGCATTTCTAAAGCACATCATCATCCCTGTGCCTCTGGCAGTGGCACGGCTGCGTTGCCGCAGCGTGAGCAGTCATCTTTCTCTTGCGAGTCAGACCTTGCCACAGTCACAGAGCTTTTTGTCTTGCCCAAGACAGGAGGCTACAGCAGTCTTGTTATGAGGCTGTCATATGCCATGGATGGATAGTGGCACAGCTTTAACCTTGTGAGGCTGGCGTCAAAATCTGCTCTGTGGCTGGAGAGCAGAATACAAAAATGAGCAACTTTTTCCTAATAGCCGCAGACAAGATGATCCCAATTCTCCTCGCACAATGATTTTGCAAATGTGATTTGTCGTTGTGCCCCTGGTTTTTGAGCAGCCTTTCAAGCCCGAGATTGGCAGCATATTTAATTCAAACAGCATTTCCTGTGTCATCAGCTCACTCTCATTATTTTGTTCCTAACCACTTAGTGCAATGGAATTGCTGTAGCTGTGAATGCCTTAAAAGATAATCAGAAGTGATTTAGAAATGCTTTTATGTGTCTTTCTTGGATGTCAATTAAAAGCATGTGTGTGTGGCTGGCACATAGGAGCATGTTTGAGCATGCTTGGTGAGGGAGCACTCGCTGAGGTGGGGGCTCCGTGTCTGCTCGTGACTGCCTGGATGTCACTGTTTGCTGCGGGACAGTGACCTCGCTTGCGGTAACAAAGCTGTCTCTTCACTTAGCAGCCTGTGAAACATCAGCTTCTCGTACATCAGACAGTGCAGGAAGTATGAGCAGTCCTTTGATAAACTTGGTCATAAACACACTTCACATCTAGGTGCTCCAGCTGAAGTGTCAAGGACCGGATCTGGGGAGTGGAGGGAATATTAGGAAAGATTTGAGAAGTGTTTTGGAGATGACAGGCCCTAATAAGCCCACTGTGATTCCCCCTCTTGTTTTAAAAGTTCGTTGGTGTGAGGCAGTGCAGAAAAGGCATTTTGCCTTTGTCTTGACAACATGAGTCCTATGAGTATGTGCTCCTGGTGTCCTTCAGGCTGGCAGCTCACACCTCTCATGGCATTGCCTTCACACATGCCCTCATGTTTTGAGGAGAAACGGTCTTTTGCTCTGTTAATAGGACTGGTGTAGGGCTGCCAGAGTTGCAAGGGGAGAAAAGGCCTTTTCCCTCCATAGTGCAACTAGATTTGGTACCCTCTCTGTTCTTATGGATGCTGTACTGTGACCTCTCCCAACCCCTTGTTACAGGGCATGTCAAACTCGAATCTTTAAGCCAGAGGAATTATTAAATTGGACAGAGAAAGATGTATTGGCTTCTGGGCCTGGGATGTTAAGCAGCACATTATAATGCAGACAGCATAGCTTCTGAACCTCCAGATAAATGGCGGGAACAAAAAAATTGTTCATTCTTATCCATTTTACTACTCAGCTTGTGTCACTGGCAGGCACTTCAGATTTACCACTTTTTAAGTTTGTTGCAGTGAAGTGACGTAGTCCATGTGGTGTGCTCAGAGTGGGTGAAGCTCTATACTTTGGACAATAGAAATTAGGAACATTAATGACAATACTAGTTGATTTGTAAAATTGCATAATCCACATAAGACTGTAGTCTAACACATTGTATGTCATTTTAAAAAAGAGGAATTGAACCAGTCCTTATCCACGTTGCCTGGCCAGATTTCCTTTCGAAGTTGTTCATACCAGGCTTTTTATAAAACCTTCTGAGACCTATCAATGCTGCTTATGTTTTTCCCAGCAGTTGTGGTGAGAAGGTAGCCAGTATAAAGTGGCAAAAGCTCAGGAACCCGAACTTGGGCATCATCTCTGATTTCTGGCAAACAGCAGCCTTAGGCTGAAATGCAGAGGTGGACTCCAGGGCATGGCGAGGTGCTGAGGCCCGGATGGCTCATGAATGTGGGCACACGAGTGCTGCCTGCAGCTGGAGAACTATGGAAAAAAAATAAAGGGTGTCTGAAGAGCACGCTCTGTTCTCTTCCAGTGTTTGGATTACGCCTTTCAAAAAGCATACAAACAAGAAGGAAAAAACCCCTTGTTTTTTAAGTGCAGAAATGACAGCAAATCATGCTTAATATTCTTAACCACCAACATATTTTCTGAGCAGCTGCACTGGTTAGTGAAGGATGCCTTGGCATGAGATCCTGCAGAACCACAGAAATCTGCAGCTAGAAGTAGATCTCACCTGTAACACCGTGTTCTAGTGCACAGCATACAGTGATGCTGATCTTGGCATTGAAGTGGTGTGCTTTTGTGTGTGGTGATAATCTAATCTGGGAACATCATGTTTCACTTTGTAAACGTGACTCATTTAAAGGGAGGGGTACAGGAGGAAGGAAAAAGATCTCAAATGCGAAGTCTTGAAAAGCACCTGACCTTTGAACTGGCTTGGATTTAAAGATGCACTTAAAGAAACATTTCTATAAATATCTTCTAGTTTTTTGAAATGCATGTAACGTCAGTCTGTTAAGCTGTGCTTGGAGCTTCAGTAAGCAAGAAAAGCCCACATCTATTTTCATTTTCAACTTCTCTCACTTTTTGTGATAGATCTTTGAACCTGCTTTCAAGGGAGTTTTAATTTTCAGCATCTTGAATCCTGTTTGAAAATGTGATAGGCCAATTCTTAGCTAAAGTAAGTGTTTGCACTAAAACCGTAAGCCCATCAGACCAACCCCAGGGACAGGAGTTATCTCATCCCCAAAGTTCCTCTTCTATTTGAAATGGTGAAGGCTTTATTGGCTGCGTTTGTCATTTGGATTTATTGCTCAGTCTGAGCTGCCAACGTGTCATTTTGTGTGAGTGTAAAGCTGCTGTGTGAACATACTTTTATTGCTGGACTGCATGCAGTTGAGACTGTGCCTTGATTTGAGAAAATACTTGGATATCCACCTTAAAGTCAAGTACTTGCAGCATCTCTTGAAAAGCTTTCTGGAACCGTAAAACGATCTTGAGAAGTTTGCTGCTGAGAGTAATGGTCTGTCGGCTTCACTGGAATAGAAAATGAGAACACCAGAGATAAGAAAATGAGCCAGAACTCTGCAAAATTTGTTAAAAGAACTAGAAACACTGATTTACTGCATGGAAAGAGCAACAGGCTTGTTTTTGGGGAAGGTGGACAAAAGCAATTCCACGGGGTGGTTTGAACAAATGACTTGTCTCTAAATTGACATTGTAATCAGTTTAGGTGGTTTTTTTCCTCATTGAAACTAATTTGCTACTCAAAAATTGCAGACCAATTGTTTTATTATTTTTGAAGAAAACCTTTTTTTTTAGTTGTCTTTGCATTTTATCTGCAGAAAGCCTACCAGCTCAAGACCAGGCCTCTCCCTTCGCAGGTGAACTAGGTACCACCTAACCTGAAAATAATTACAGCCACTACGTGAAATTAATTGAACAGACATCAATTATGCATCTGTTCTTCAGAGAACATTAAGTGTGATGCTGTTTGCCAATTAATCAAATCAATTTTTAATTCCTTAATTAAAACCAATAACAACATATCTGGAATTTTTAACCACAGAAACAAATTCTAGTTTTCCTTTTTTAAAGGAAATTATTCCAGGAAATTAACAGTGGTAGCAGCCTGGGATATTTTCTTAATGTGTTACCCCTATCAGCACTGCAGCAGTTAGACTCCCTGTATCTGACTACTCTGGAGTTTTCTGGATAGGGAGGAATAGAGGAGCCCTGGGGGCACATGGCTGCCAGGAGATGGCACTGCCTTTGGTTAAAGAGAAAGCAGAGGTGAAAATGGTTCTAAATTGTTTTTCATTTACCCCTTTTACATACTCTGGATGTGGAACTTGTTTAACAGAACATCGGGAGCAAATTCTGCAGTGACGTTAAGCTGTGCTGTGTAAGGTTGAATTCATCATCTGCTAAGTGAAAAACACTGTGGTGAAAAAGTCCATTGAGCAGGGATTTGGTTTTGTTGGCTTTTTGTGGCTTTGTGCAATAAATCCTGATTACTCGACGAGGCCGCGGTAATGCCGGGATGTGATGCTGTGGTCCTGATTACACGTGCTCCATGATGAGATGGGGACCTGCTTCTAATGCACTAATGTGAGCTTTGGTGTGCAAATCTTGCAGCTGCACAGAGCCTGGGAGATCACAAGGGTTGGTACGGAGCAACACCCCAGACTTGGAATGAATCTGCTTGGACATCCTCTGTGCTCCTTCCAGTTTCAAACAAATTGCCTTTGGTGCAGAAAGCTAGATCTTTTTCACCTTGCTCAAGCAGCTCTGCTCTGATTTTGGGATACAAAGCTCCCAAAAACATGCTGTAGCTGGCAGGAGAGACCTGGGGGTTTGACTCTTTTGTGTTTCCAAGGTGGCTGGGTGAATCTGGCCTGAAATGTTTGCCTCTTACACCTCTTCTTTCTGTGTGGTGTTGCTGGGGAACATGTCTTAACTGCCATGTATAAATGTCATGTATAAGCTCTCTTCACATATACAGTCTGTGTAGCAGAGCTGTGTTTTGGGCATGGCAGGCCCTTTTCAAGGGGCACGTCTGCTCAAAGTTGGTTTTTTATTATTATTATTGTTATTTTTTCTGCAAGAGAAGAAAAAGTTAATAATTAAGTTATTAACTTGAGAACAGTTGGTTAAGATCCCAAGCATGCCCAGTGGGTGCAGAGCCCAAAGGGTCTGATGGCAGGGGTGTTGGGAGGCTTGGCTGGCACAGGAGCTGTTCTAGCCCTCAGGGAAGGGCAGGAGAGGGCAGGCTCTGCTAAGGCCCTGCCAGTAGAGCCGTGGCAGGGAGCTGGCCCAGCTGAACTCAAGAAGGCGTCACTGCCTTCCTCCAAGGTACTTACAGTCTCTGTTTTCTTTCTGTCCTAGGACCTCAGAATGGCTGGAATGACCCTCCCACCCTGAACAGAGCTGCCAAGAAGAAGAAGGTACTCTAGGAAATAGTGCCTCAACACAATTGAGTGCTGGTCACTTGAAAAGCAGTAATTTTAAGCTGCTCCTGGGAAACTTCTTGGCAGGAGAGGGAAAGAGAAGGGTTAGCAAACAAAAGCTTCACCTCATGAGCAGAAATGGCTTTTATGACTCTCCAGTATGCATTATCTCACTCAAAATATTTAAGCCTATAAAGAGATGGTGTTTTTCTGCTAAAGTTGTGGTTGTTAATAACAACATTGATCCTGGTTTAAAGGAAATGCTTCTGAATGTTTTCATCTGCAGTAAAGCAGCTGAATTTTGCAGGAGACGATACTTAGGCAAAGTTATGAGGCTGTGCAAATTGTTATAGATTATTGACTTTGCTGGAGCTGAAAGCAATTTATCCTGATTAAGGGTCTGACCCTGAGAGGTCTGTTGAGAGTAAGACAATTTTCATGATGGAGATAATGTAGTTTTGTAAAACGGATTTAGATTGCAGCAGGGCAGAATAACTGGGGACACTTGGCACAGAGCAGAGTGAGCCTTTTCCTCCCCTGGTGCTGCTGTAGTCTGGAATATCTCCACAGCAGTTAGTGCCTTCCACTGTTCTCTTAGCCTGGTGCATTTGGGAAGCAAGAGTTAGTCTAGAGCATGTAAAGTGTGGGGAGAACAAAAAAAAAGTTAGAGCAAGCAAGGGAAGATCTGAGTGAAGGTGAACGCAGAAGTCTGCCTTAGCCTTTGGGTTTTGGTCTCTGCAGCTCAAGATTAAGAAGCTTTTGGAGGCTGGATCAAGGACGCCTTGTGTGCTCCTGACTGCCCCAGTGCTGGGACGTTTGTCCCACAGCAGCCTGCATGCTGCCTTTGGGGCCTCAGGCTCTGAAGGAGAAGAAAGAAAGTTGTCAGAGAGAGTAACTGCTGGACCTGAGAGCTCAAGAAGCAGCCCTCTGCAAACAGGGTTTTTGTTACTGCAGCGTGTGTGCGTGTGTGTGTCACAGCCACAATTCCTGCCATAGCCAAGGCTTGAGGGTTGACTCCCTTCTAAATGAGGAGTCACGCTTGTTCCCTGTTGGGTATTTAACGAATCTGTCAGTCGTGCTTCTGTTTGTTTCCCTTCTGTCCACTGTCTGAGGGGTGGTTTAGGATATTATAAAATGACTCACCACATGGACTGTTATAAAATAGAAACGTCTGGCATTTCAAGCCGTAATTTTCAACTGTTTTCTTCCTAACTAAGAACTTATTCACCACTCAAAAGTTTATTGCTGTGATTCATTGCATTTATAACTGACTTTGGTGCTAGATTGGGAATATTTTTTTTGCTGTCCCAAACCACTCACTTAATTCTAGCAGCACTCATTCAGGGTTCTGTAATCTTTCCTTTTTTCCATGCACACCTCAAGAAATGTGCACATTCCCATGGAAGCCTTTTCTTTTGTTTGGATTCCTGTATGATGCATAGCAGAGGCCAGTAGCTCATTTTGTTGTTTCTTCCCTCTACCAAATGTTTCTGAAAAACCCCCTGTGTAAAGACTGGCAGATGCTTAGGGATGAATCTGAAATGCACCCATAATCTGTCTTAGCACAAACCTGTGTGCCAGAAGCTTGAAAGGCTTTCAGAAGCTTTATTGGAGCATGTTGCTAGCTTTGACCTACGTAGTGCATGGACAAAAATACACCCTTGGAAGTGAGACACAAAAATCTAAATATAACGACCCAATAGTAAGAATAGATGTAGGTGTGGGTTAGTTTTCTCTTCTAATAGTGCTGGTCTGCCAAACCTCTGATTTGTGCCCTTGGCAGAGGGAGAGTAGCTCTGATCTTGAGATGGCTGCACCCAGTTCTTGTGGCCAGGGGCAGGCTGGGATGGCTCAAGGCACTTATTACTGTGCAGCCAGAGGAATGGGTTTGTTTAGGCAGAGTGAAATCCTGTTATTTGTATATCCAGAGCTCTCAATTACTGTGGGGTGGGAATTCTGTAAGAGCTAGGCCTTGTGCTCTGCCTGCAGCAGCCACAACAACATAAATGCACTGTTTGTTGGGTTTGGTTTTGTTTGGTTTTTTTTCCCCAGGTCCCTGATAACTTCTTGCCCCCGGTTCCCATCACTTCCCCCATCATGAACCCGCTGGCGGATCCGCAGTCTCAGATGCAGCAGGCTCCAGCTCCAGCACCTCCCACCGGTGCCCCCACCTTCCAGCCTCCGCACCTGCCGGCTGGGCCACTGCTGCAGGGTGGCTACCCCCCTGCTGCCCTGCCACCTGCTGCTTCCAAACCCAGCACGGAGGGGGCCCCCGGGGCCCCAATCGGCAACACCATCCAGGTAACAGCCCTGGCACTGCATGGCTTTGGTTTGTCCATCAGCAGAGCCCGGCAGGCTGGGATCCTGTTGGCCAGGCATTTCCTGTACCTGCAAAGTGTACCGTGGAGTTTTTAGTCACTAGCTTTGTGCCATGCTGGCATCGTGCTGCTGTAATCTCCACCTGGATCCCACCTTTTTGCAGTTAATGCTATAGTCAGTATGGGCCAACAACCTGCTTCCTTCTGCAGCTTCACACCTTCCCAGAGGGAGCAACAGCAGGTGCTGATAATGTCACCTCCACACACCCACAGGGAAGAAACAGGAATTGTGCCAAGCTAACTAATGATGCCGCTTGGTTTAGTCAAAAACAACGTGTGGGTACAGTGACCTGGAAAAGCCTCACCTGTTCTCTGTTTCTCAGCATGTGCAGGCACTGCCAACAGAGAAGATTACCAAGAAGCCCATCCCTGAGGAGCACCTTATTCTTAAGACAACGTTTGAAGCTCTCATCCAAAGGTGCCTGCTGTCCGCCTCCGACCCGGTAGGTCACTGTGGTATTCCCAGAGTACCCCTGTGTGTGGGTGAACGTGCTGGTACCTGTAGCACAGGTACCTCTCAGCCTCTCCTTTGGTCCCTCTAAAGGCCTCTTTGAGCAGCCACAAGCAACATATGGGAAAGCCATATGCACACAGGGTGTGGAAATCTGAGGTCAAAGCACAGTCCAGCTGCCCGAGCACTTTGACTCTGGTCCTTACAGACCTCAGCATGGGCAGAGCCTGATGATGAGCTACTTATGAGCAAGGAATTAACCCATTGCAGCCCCCTATATTGCTCTCTTCAAGGAAGGAGGGTTGGAATTGGTTACAGTTAACGTTTTGATGTTGATGGTTAAAAAAATTAAAAATTCTGAAACCTTCAGAGAGAGAGCTGTTGGTCTTTCTGTCAAATGATCCCTGTGGAGGCATGCCCTGTACATTTGCTTAGCTGCTTCTTATAGTTCAGAGCAGGAAGCAGCTGGTATTATGCCAGGTCTGGGCCAAGGCTCACATACGTGAGTACATGCCTCAGATTTTGATCTGTGATTTGTGATTTCTGATAACAAACTCATTTCAAAAGGAAAAAAAGACTAGCAGAGAAGTGGAAGGTTAACAGCTTTAACACAACCACTGCAGCTGCATAGGAAAAACATTTCCTGTGCCAGCCAGCACTTTGTAAATGAACCATCCCTCTCAGAGCTTCTCATTTATTTCTGGTGGTCAGTAAATAACATGTCACTCCAAAGCTCAGATGCTGACTGTTCAGCTCGTGCCTGCCACATGCTAAAAGATGGTACTGGTGGTGTGCAGAGGGCTTTGTGCACTAAATGTGCTTGCTTTAGCAGCACAGACTTGTGCTCCTGTTATGGAGACTGGGAGCTGAGCTGTCTGAGGGCTCTGTGGCAGTGGCTGTGGGGGTATATTGGGCATTTGGTGTCACTTCTGCCTTCTGCCTGCTCTACGGTTTCAGCTGCCTCTGTAGTTTTGACTTGGCATTTGCATGTATGTACTCCTCCTTTCCCCTGTGTGTCTCAGTCCAGCAGTTTCAGGGTGGGCTCACCCACACACTCCTTTTGCAGAAGTTTTTTGAGGCCATAGGACAGACCTCAAGGTTCATTCAATTGCTCAAAACCCTTTCTTTAAAGCTCAGAGTACATATATGTATATAGTGTATACTGCACACTCTTTGACTTTTTCTTCCTCTGAGTGCCCCTTCTCCCAGACAAAGAAGGCAAAAGCATTCTGCTTACATCTGCACCTAGGGATTGCTTTTCTGCTCTGCCAACACGTTTTGCTTGCTTCTTGTTGAGTCTCTCTGATTTTCTTAGGCAGAGCAAGTATTTAAGTACAGGGAGATGAGACACCACCCTGGCTGTACACATCAGTTATTGTCAGAGCAAATGCAAGCACTGACATTCGTTACATTCTAAAGGGGAAAATGGCAACAGGAAGCAGAGAGTGAGGAGGACAACCACTTTGCACTTCCACCTCATTTCTTTGGCTGGAGAGATGTCCTGTTGTTTACTAGACACAATTTATTCTTCTTTGTCCTAGTTGACCATCTGTAAAATGAAAATAGAGTGTTCTCCTGTTTGCAGGTTTTGAAACAAATGCTCTGAAGTCATGTATCTGAGAGTTTGCCAGTCCAAAAGAACCAGCCAGTTTATCTGCTCCTCCTGGGGTACCTTTTCCTTACCCATCTCAGTTCCTTGACAGCATAATTGGTGCTGAAGAGTTTTCCACACGTAGCCTGAGATCCATGTGCCGTGTTCTCCTTTATGTCCTCTGCCATCTGAACAGCTTCCCCTAATTTCTAGCACAGCAGGCGGCTATCAGCCTGTGTTCACCCTTAAGCCAGAGCATTCTCATAGACTTTATTTTCTCTCTGGACAATATTTAATCCAGAGAAATGTTTCCAGTTGCCAGGGAAAACGGCATTATCCTAAGTGAAGATGGATTGATATGCATACTGATTTAGGAGGAAGTTCCATTACTCTTGTGCACTGATAGCATTTCTGCCACTGTTGGCCACCAGCTTTCTTGTGCTCCTGCAATTGTAACCCTGATGCTTTATCACTGTTTTATTACTCTGGATTAAAATGTACAATTTCTGTGGATGTTGGTTTAAAAAAAAAGGTGAATAAAAATGCATTTCTTCAGCAGCTGCTGCTGCAGGTGGAATATACTGGGGTTATTTTAAGAACCTTTGGTGGCAAAGTAATTCCAGGTACATCAGTGGGTGGGTTATTCTGTGAAAGTCACGGAAGCACAAAGGATCTGTAAGGACATTTTGGTTAAAGCTATTAGTTTTTCTGTTGATACTAAAAACTTATAGACAAACTCCCAGCTTTACTAATCACATGAGGAAAAATATAATTAGGATTTGCCATAAATGATGACTGAGTTGCACTTACTTAGACTTGAGTATCTGCATGTGCCCTTAAGCTCTCATTGACGTTGCTGGATACATGATTCCAGTAAGAATTTTATCCAGTTATAATGCTTTGCCAGTGAACCATAGAAAAATGTGCTGCAGCTCAGAATTCTGTCACTTTTGTATCAGCTAAACCAGCGGGTTTTGCAAATGACCAGTGGCTTTTGGGGTGCACCTCTATGATTTACTGTTCTCTGTAGCAAACTAGGGCAGTTACATATGGAGAACTACAACCATATATCACGTGGTCTTTCCTAGCAAAATCTGGGGAGAAAAGTACAGAACAAAGAATTCAAATGATGTGTTAGGAAAATGCTGTTGAGGAAGGAATTTGATGTGTCACATGGATCTCTTCACAGTGATATCAGATCAGTATGGTGTTCTTAAAATCACTGTGTTTTAATGTTTTTATTCCTCTTGCAGCAAACCAAGAGGAAACTGGATGATGCAAATAAACGCCTGGAGTTTCTTTATGACAAACTTAGGGAACAGACAGTAAGTTCTGTTTTACTTTCCCCCACCCCCCAGTCAAACATTGCCAATGACATCATTGCTGGTGTGGGCCCCTCTGCAATATGTGGCAGGTGCTTGTTCTTTCTTTGGAAGTGTGCTTCAAATCCGTTTATTGGATGTTTACATGGACTTCTTGGAAAACAGCGAGGTAGCGTGCTTGACCCCAAATGCCTGTGCGGACTTTACAGTGTTTTGGGGTCATGTCGTGAGTGTTATGGTGCTGTGCAGAGACTGTGCTGATCCAAAGAGCAGAGCTCCTTGCAGCAGGCACTGTTTCTCTGCTCCCAGCAGAAAGTGAGACACACAGCCTGGGGTTAAAAAAGCACCCAGGAGACTTAGATGTTGGAGGCTCACTGACTTCACTGGAAGGCAGATGTGCAACTACTTTTGAAGATCTGGTAATTTTTCCAAAGCCTTCCAGGAGGCTTTGGCAGAATAAAGGACTGTGCTTAGATGTCTTAGTACTTTAGGATTAGAGTGATCTAATCCTGTTATTGTCAGGCCGTGTTTGCTGAGCAATTAACTTTACCCCAAAGGCATAAAAGCCCAGTAGGTTTTTCACAGTGCCACAGTCTGTCACAGCAGGTCTCCCACCCCAGGGAATTGCACCCAGGGGCTGGCAGTGAAGGCTTGCAGTGCTGCAGAGAAGGTATGATCTGGCTGAAGTCTGCTGTTAGACTTCCCAGTGACTGTTCCCAGTGTGATGCACCTCTGAAGATGGCTATCTCTAAAGAAAGGAACTTAATTGCTTCACCTTCCTGAGGGCCAAGCCTGACACTTGGAATTTCTGTTTTCCTAGCACTAGTGTGTAGGTGCTGTTTTTTCTTTCTGCTGACCTGCCTTGCCTGGCTTCCTTGCAGCTCTCTCCAGCCATCGTCAGCGGTTTGCACAACATGGTGAAGAGCATCGAGACCCGCAACTACCAGGAAGGACTGAACATCCACACACACATCGTCAGCACCAGCAATTTCAGCGAGACCTCTGCTTTCATGCCAGTCCTGAAAGTTGTCCTCACCCAGGCCAATAAGCTGGGGGTGTGAAGTAGCCCTGCACTTGCGAAGCCTTGACGGTTGCTTTTCCAAAGAAGTGCATTTCTACAGCAAACATGCAGGAAACGGACCAAATGCTCGTCCTCAGCATGTCGCGGTAGAGCGCTGACAAACGGCATTACACTCTCCCTGCAGAATACTTTGCTCTAGAAGGGCTCTGGAGCCCTGGTGCTTTTCTTTTTATTTTAATCCTTTTCCCGTTCCCTAACGATTCTCCTCTACAAATAGTATATTTAATGGATGATGTCCCATATTGTCAATTTTTAGGTGCATGTTACACTGCTAAACAGTGGCTTTTAATAACAGATGTATGTGGTAAAACAACAAGATAGGTTGTGTATCGGACCCTAAAACAGATTATTCCCTTCCACCCTGCTGTTCCTTATCCACCAGATTAAAAACAGTCTGATCATGTTATAAGTGTATTTGGTCTTTCATTTTATGAAGCTGCTTGCAGTCCTGTTATTACAACTTACATGTTAAATAGCTTAATTGTGCACTGGGGCAAACGAGCAAAATAAAGGCTAATGTGATATTTTCAATAAATGTAAATTTATTAAAATGTGTCTTTATGAAGTGAAATGTAGAGACTTTGAACCTGGAGTACAGTGAGGTGGCTTTCTGTTGTGTCCTTGGCACAAGGACATTTTTCTTATTCCATGCCTATCACTGAAAGCTCTGTGTAGGACACAGAAAGAACAGCAGTTGAAAGAAACGTCTGGGTTTGGAAAAAAAAAAAAGAGGCAGTTTTGCATGAAAACTACCTAAAATATCTGTGCCTGTGGACTGTGGATTTAGCAATGCATACTGCATGAAATATTATAAATAACAATGTAATCACTGCTCACTCCTGTGACTTAAACAGATTCGTCAGGCAAAACAATTTTATTTTCCTTTCCAGCGTTTTCTTACCTCATAAGCATTTATAATTGGTGAACATAAAGCATCAATTTGGATTTGCCTTGTTTCAGGAGTTTAAAAAACAACTGGAGTAATTTTCTTCCCCTTGACCTAGGTTATAGGTTTCTAAGTAGTGTTATAAGTATTCCAATACTTAAATTTAAGTATACTTATAGCAGTGTATTCAGTTCCTGTAACTTGGAAGATTTGCAGGTATCTTTTATTCGTCGTGCCCTTGATGAAAACTCTGGTGCTGGCTGAATCACATCAGAAACGTGAAGTATTTTAATGCTTTCAGAAACTGGTAATAAGGAAGTGTCAGTCTGCCTCAGTGGGGAAAAACATGCAGGTCACTAGCTCCAAACCTGATTGCTGGGACAGTGTTATCTAGTAAATACTCTGTCAGATGAGAATGATAACAGCTTGGTGTGCTCTACCTTCCTCGCCTGTGCCTGCTTTCTGCAAACTTAGAATGAAATGCTGGGGCTCTGAAAATAGGGGAAGGCAGGAGGGGAGAGGCTGCACAGAAGCAGAAATGTTGACACCTGCAGCTGAAGCGGAATTTGAGCAGAACAGTACCCCAGGATCTCTGCACAGTGTGGAGAAGACTGCTGGACTGAACTGCAATGTTGGTGCCTCCCTCAGGGCAACTGGGCACACTCTGGCCAGATAAGCACCCTTGTATCCTGATTCGAGTTGGAAAAGAACAAGTTTTAAAGGAAAAAAACACATTCAGAGGTAAGCAGGAAAAAGTAAAAATAAAAAAAAAAAAACTCAGTAGGGTGGAGAGCAGGTGTGCTGGACTGGCCTGAGGTTTCTGTGATGTGCTGTTCAGCAATGAAAACTAAAGACAATCTTGGTATGTCAGGATCAAACCAGTGGGTAGGAGGTAATGCTAGGGGAATTCAGGAGCTGGTCGTGCATATGCTCTCACTGTTTTTGGGAGTAGTCCTGGACAAGAAGCAGGAGTGGGGGCAAGCATTGTTTTGTGAAGCTGGCTGTTCCTGGCAGTAACAACTGGAGAGACTTCATGGTGGTGACAGAAGTGGGATGCACTCCCGTGGGTGCAGTGTGCAGGGTTGAGGGCAAAAGCATTGATGTAAATTGGAAGCTCCTAAGTTGGGAATAAGAAGAGCACTGGGACCTGAGATGATTAGTGGGAACAGCTTCTCTGTGTGATATGGCTTTGTAAAAGCCAAAGAATGTTCAGTGGCGTTGCACAAGCCTTTGTAAGACTTCCATTCATATAAAAAAGATGCCAAATGAGAAGGGACTTAGCAAGGCATACAGATGTCAGGGACTGATGAGTTTATTTAAAAAGAAGAGATTAAATAAACTTTGGTTGTTCCCCTTGTGAAGAGCACAAGGGAATCAGGTTGATTGGGATTAAAGAGCAGTGTTAGCATGAGAACAAATGTGGTATGAGCTGACCAGGCATAGGTTTGTTCTGGAGATTGAAGTGGTGGAAAATGAGACCACCAGATCAGAGAGAAACACTGGGGGAGGGGGGAGGAGTTGAGATGATAGTATCTCAGAGCACTGTGATGTTGCACCACTGTCCTGGACACTGTCAGCAGTGGAGTAATCTCTCCTTGCTGAAAGGAAAGCTTATGCCTCAGCACTTGTCTGGAGCTCAGGACCAGAAAACTGCACCGACCAAGTACATAACAGGAGTGGATGCAAACTTCTCTGAAGTATCTGCTACTTCTCTGCTGAGAGCAGCCGAGATGAATTACCAGTTATGCTGCCGTCTGTTCATATCTTCAAGGAATGCCAAGCAATTAGCCACCCATCTGATATAAATGCAACGGCCATCTCCATTTACAGAAGGCAACGAAGCCCTGCCAAGTTATGCTGCTAAAAGAATTTGGCCCCAAATAGCCTAATTTTGATCTCACTGAGCGAGAAGAGATTTATACCATGGCACTAACACCAACCAAGCTACTCCTCTGTGCGGCCCTCCGAGGCTGTGGAATTAAAAAAAAAAGGGATGGAAGGAGATTCAAAGACGCAATCTGGGCAGCAAGGGACATGAGGAGGTACTTGCCACTCCAGCAATCACCATCCAGGCAAAAAAACCAGCAGGAGAGTCTGTGGGAAAGGGCAGTGTTAATGGAGTTGTCTCATACTTGCTGGCAAATAGGTGGGGATATAGCAGGGGCAGTACTGCAGAGGGGGCTGAGTACAGGCAGGACATCTAAGTTACATACTTGAGTGAAAACCTTTTTCTGCTTGTAAGGCTCTGTAATGGATTTACTTTGGTTTTGCTGGCAGAAGTCCAAGGTCAGCATTAGACATGAATGTTGCAGATTGTCTTCTAATTGCTGCTGGGTTTCTGGCCTGTGCAATGTTTACATCAGAGCTGTCCCATGTTGCGCCTTTCAGATGACACAGCTCCCTAACATACCCATTGGGAATGTGGGTTTACTGTTTAGTAACCATCTTTTCTCTGCCCAGAAGGAAGCATATGCTAGACTGACTGGGCTATTGAGAGAGAAGGGAGGGGGTCTTGCTGCCATAGCTGTTTTCCCCAAAAACTATGGAGGGGAGGGGTCATGTCTTAGGAAGCATGGCAGAGACAGCACACAGAGCAGTGAGACCACTCCCCAGAGTTCTGCAGGCTCCCTTCAGCTTCATCTTCACCCTCACCACCATGCTGGTACTTCGCTTAAGCAACACAAACCCCACTGTGTCATTAGCCTGGCCTGAGACCCTGTTATGCCTGAGAAGGGAAATAAAGGAGACTCTGAGTCAGATATTTCCCTCCTTCCCCACTATCTGCAATCCCACATGGCTCCACATCCCTAAGGGTTCACTGTTCTGAGCTGCTTTAAGCATTCTTTGCAAAGGTAGAGCAGCATGTAGAGAGCCAGGCAGGGCTCAAAGCTTAGGGGAAAAACAGCCTTACACGGCCAAACATCTGCCACCAGCTGACAGCACCTCCCCTGCAGGGCATGCTGAGCATCCCGCTGAGGTGCCTGGTGCTGAGCTGAGCTGTTCAGCCTTGAACAAGGGCCAAGGCCATTGTCAGACTATACTGAGGAATGTAATAAATAATGTACTGATACCAGGAACAGTTTCAGCATGTCCAGTCTTAAATGGGTAATCTCCCAGCCTTGACTTGCTCTATGCTGAGTTGATAATTCTCATGTTTTCTCTGCCAGCCTTGCAGATCAAACAGATACATCACCAAATGGCCAGTCAGGATGGATGCATGGATACATTTCATGCAATCCTCACTCAAAAGAAGCTAAACTGATTAAAATTCCTATGAGCTTTAGAGCTGAAAGTTAGCCACAAGAGCATCTAATTAAGAGAGGATTTATTAAGAAGCACCCTAAAAAGGCAACTGCAGCTGGCCTCATCAGTCTGGAAAGCACACAGAAAACTTTTTGGGAACCTGTTTTCTGAATTCTTTGCCAGGCACATAGGAAGCACTTCACAAACACTGAGCACATTATTTCTTGTCCCTCTGATGTTTTAGGCTTTGTTTCCTTCTTTACCACTTAAAGTGTTCATTTGAACAATGCTTTGGGATCATTACTTCATTTTTCATGGCAACAGAAAAGAAAAAAAAAAAAGAGGCCAGTCTTGTCAAGATGTTAAATAACTGTGCTGAATGTGATGGTAGCAGGCAGGACTGAGTAGCACTAAAATGATACTCGGTGTTCACATGGACCACTCTACCTTTCATCATTGCTGCCCTCTTTATTTCTTCCATGTGGAGAATTCCAGAAGAATGTTTAAAATATATCAAAAACAATATTGGGTTTAATTATATGCTCTCTGCTGATTCACTTGCCTCAGGAGGTGTAGTTAGTAATTAATTAGCACAGCAAGACTAATGTGCTTTGCACCAATATCACTCATAAAGCCACTCTCTGCTGGGTCCAGGCCTATGTCCCTAGCAATCATCCATCAGCAGTTGAGGCCAGTGCTGCACTGGGAGCCCTTTGGGATGGAGGTGAGCTGGTGTTGGCTTGCCTCCTCCTGCCACACTGCTCTCAAATCCTGGCAAGAACCTCCCTCTGAAGGGCAGTTTTGAGCATCTTTCTGAAGGCAGAAAATGGTCAGGTCAGATAACCGAAGAAGGACAAGTACATTCTGGAGCTATGTAACATTAGGGCTGAGGTTTTGCTGTTTCTTAAAACTCTGTGAAAATAAAAAATGTAAAACTCCTTGACTAAGACATTGCCAAGCCTTTTGAGCCCTTTGCAGCCTCAGCTCCAGAGTACCGTCCCAGCCTGACTCACCTCAGGAAGGCAGAGAGCCTCTGGGTCTCCTGTTGCTTGGCAGCAAGGATTTTTGATGGCACAGGCATCACCCTGAGAAGCTGCTGCTGCCCACCCACATGCTGCCACACAGAGCACAGCACAATAGACAGGTGCCATTGGCAGGTTTCAGTGAATCCCCCTGTGCTGCTCTCCGAAAAGTAAGAAAGGAAAACACACTTTCTCTAAGGGGCAGTACCTAACACCAGCAGCACTGCTGAACCCCTGCAAGTCCACGATGTTTTCTGCCTGAATAGGAAGCTCCACAAGATTTAGGTCTTTGTCCTTTGTTCTTGTGTTCATTGTCTGACATCAGTGGCAGAAATCTGCCAGTGAGGTATTCCCAGGCTTGTGTCATGGGCAGCGTTTCTCACCTCAGTG